TGCGGTGTCTGGTTTTGGGCGTTGACTGGGCCAAGGGGGACCCCACAGCAGAGCACACTCGCTGGGTGGTCCCTGGAGGTGCTTCTGGGGGGAAACCAGACAATCCCGTCCCACCAATGCCCACAGGTGTCACCTGTCCTCCGCAGCAGAGGCAGGGTGGACTCACTCTCTATGGGGACCGGCACAGCCCTTGGCCATCGCACCACAGGTTCCCGTACCCCCCCCACCCCACCCCACCATCTCGGACCCTTGGCTCAGGACTGGGAGCTTCCCCCCAGGTCCCCCCAAGTTCTCAGGCCTTTGGATGGTGCCACCGGATTTCCTAGGCCTCCAGCTTGCCCAGGGCAGATCATGTGACCTGGGTCCYATGAGCAAGGTGCTTTGTTACAGCAGCACCGACTGACTCGTACTACCTGTGTCCTCATGGGTTGACCACACCTAGACGGGCCCAGAGGCCTGAGAACTGGAGGCTGAATTATTTGTATTCACTGATGATTTAACAGTTTGCCACCCAAGAGGACAAGTGTCACAAAGCTGGTGCAATAGTTCGGGAAACAGGAGAGGACATTCAGAGGCTGAGGCTGGCCTCCCAGCCTCCCTCAGGTGCAGCCCCAGCATCTGAGTTATTCCATGTGTCTCTGGTCGCCCATGGGCCTTTATTTCACTCCTTTCTTACATGCGGAGCTGAGACTCAGGGCCTCACGTGTGCCAGGCCASCGGCTGGGAGGGCAGGAGGCCGTTTTCCAGGTGAYGGTGGCAGAGGCAGTTGTCACTGAGACAGGGCAGATGTACCTTGGGCCCAGAGAGGCYACCTGTCCTGCAGTTTCCCAGTGTCACATGCTCAGGGTAGGGGACATCTGCACAGCCAAACTGCGTGACACAGTGGCTCAGGGAACACTGAGCCCACGTCCTTGATCCCCTGTGACACTGGCATGTGGCACCCTTGCTGTGCCCGCCCGGAAGCCAGATGGCTCCAAACGCCAGGGGTGGTGGTGAGCGGGGTGACAGCCCAGTGGGGGCCCAGGACAGAGTCAGGTCGTCAGGAGGGGCCTCCAGGACTCCGAAAGTTGCTCAGGAGGGACGTTCCAGGCCTGGAGCCACGGCCACCTCGAGCCTCCAGGCCTCCCATGGAGCTCCTGGCTGGTTTGAGGCCARCTCTGGCCTCCCGGCCTCCCCCCAGTGCAGCCTCCGCTCCTGATGACCCAGAACGTTCTATCCCCGTGACTGACAGTGCACACGGAGGTGCTTGTGGGTCAGGTCTGCCTCCTGGGCCTCGGCGTGGGACATGGTCAYCCGGCTAGAGGGGACCCCTCCACACCTCAGCTGCCACCCGAGTGTCCACCTCTGTGGTGCGTGAGCCTCCAGGAGTCAGGGAGTCCAGGCAGAGTCCCTTCTGGGCCGGGACTGACCTCCTGACGYCTGTCTTCTGGGGAAGCCACTGGCAGTGGAGCCCTAAGGCACGTCCCCTTCCACACTGTCCCCTGAGTCCTACCCCCGATCCTGCCCTGTGGACACTGTGCCCGTTTCCCCAGGGACACGCCTGGCCTCTACCAGAAGTGGTGGCCTCTAGCTGGCGGCGCCCCTACCCTTCCAGATGGCTGTTCTGGGGACCTGGCCCTGCCCCCTGCCCGCCCACGTCCCCACCCCACCCTGATGCATTCGGCTCAGCCAACTGGAATGTCCTGGGGTCACCTGTCCCCTGGGGAGATGCTGTGCTCCTCAGGAAGAGCCTCAGAGGACAGCTCCCTGGGCTCTGGCCATCCGCGTGACCCTCGGCCAGGAAACGGGCCTGCAGCTGTCCCCCAGCCRTCAGGCTGAGCCAGAGGACACACTGTCAGCTTGTCACTGTGACCAGACACGGGAACAGCTCAGGGGACGCTGACTCGGGCTCCTGGTGCCACAGGTCCCAGTGCAGGGACGGCCAGCTGCGTCCCTCGGGCCCGGCTGCGGGGGGACACAAGGGGGCTGTAGGAAGCTGGGGGTTGGGAGGCCCCAAAGAGCCGCCTGGGGACGGTCCCCAGGGAGCCACCCCTCCGCCCCATCTTCCCACGGGGTCGCGGCTCTCAGGAYCCCACTTCGCCCTGAGAATCCTGGCATAAGCGGGACCTTGGGGACACCTGGCTCTCGGTCACCTGTGCTGCCGCCCTTGTGGCCGCTGGCCAGGGTGCGTGACAATCTGGATGGGAGGGACAGGGACTGGAGGAAGGTGGGGTCCTCGCTCTCTGGGGACACGGGCCAGCTGTGGCACTCCCAGGCCTCGGCCACCCTGCCTTTGGGAACTGAAGAGGATTCGGGGTCCTCAGGGCGGTTGGGGACCCTCAGCCAGCCTCCCAGTGACAGAGTTGCTGCCGCGACCCTATTCAAGGTGCCACGATGGCCTTGCTGTCCTCAGGTCTTGGGCCCTCCACCTGCCAGGACATCACTTATGCTGGGCTCAGTGTCCCCGAGTGACCCCACCGGCTTCTCCAGGCCTGAGGGGACAGGGGCCTGCGTCACACGCAGCCTGGACGGGGAGGACAGCAGTGGTCCCGCYGGGAGACCCGGGGCTGGGGACCCGGAGGACACGCCCACAGGGGCTTGGAAAAGTTGTTCCTGTGTCCTGGGCCCCCCCTGTGCATCTGCTCCCCACCTTCCCGCCATCCCACCTGGGCCATCCCACCGGCAGGAAGGAAAGAGACAGGGAGAGCGAGGACAGCAGAGCAGGTCCCCGGTGTAAGAGAGGCAGAGCGCCCTCCCTCCTCGGGAGGCCAGCCTCAGCCCCCTCCTCCTCCATCCCAGGAGAAGTCCCCGTCACGCCCTAGTAAACACACCCTGCGGTAGGTGCTTGCCTCGGGCTCTAGGCGGGGTGCCTGGCTGCCAGACGCCSTGTCACCACCTCCTCTAGGAGAGTTCATTCATTCAACATCCACCGGAGCCCAGGGTCACCAGCATTCAGTCGGCAACCACAGCCTCCAGTGCACATCAAAGGGGGGCGGGGRACTGCGCTTTTCTTGGTGCCAGGGGGGAGCCCTGAGTGGCTCAGGGCTTCGCTAAGTGGCTGAGGCTGGCCTCCAACTTGTGATCCTCCTGCCTCAGCCTCCCAGCCTGTGATGACCGGCCTCTGTGCTGGCTTGGCAAGGCCAGGCTGTCCCGCCCCAGCCCCAGCCCCCCTTGGCCACTCTGCCCTTCGACGGCAGCCGCGATCGCACACTCCTTCCATCTCTGCGGACCCACCGTGACCCGGGTCAGGTCCTGTCCTCGGGGGTGGGGGTAGGGCTCGGGGTCCACCCCGCGCGACGCTGAGGACGCGAGAGGCCAGGAGGCGGCGGGGTTTATTCCACTTCTCCGACGGCTGCGGGGGACACAAGTCCCGGCTGGGACAGACAGGAGGGGACGGGCCGGGGTCGAGGGGCTCGGGGTCCGGGGCGCTCGCCTCGGGCACGCATAAAAATACAGACCCCGTGTCCATCTCCAACTAAAAAAAACTAAACAGAACAGAACGAGGAAGCGGCGACCGGTGAAGGCCTGGGGACCGACGCCGGCCTCCTGCGCAGGTGCGAGCCCAGCCCCGCCCCGCGCATGCGCACTCCGACACTCGGGGGCCGGCAGCTCCGCGCACGCGCACATGAGGCTCCGGGCCTCAGAGTCCGTCTCCGGCGTCCAAAGGGGCGGTGCGCGCGGCTCCGCGGTGGGGGCCGCTGCGGGGCGGGCGAGTGACCGCTGAGGATCCTGCAGGGGACAGCCAGCGTCCCGCCGCCCGGGCGCCGTCAGGGGGGGCCGGGGGTCCACGCGGAGCCGCCGCCCGGCGCCGCCCCGCCCGCGAGCGACCAGTCGGCGAGGAAGCAGAGCGCCAGGAGCCCGGTGCCCAGCAGGTCCCCCAGCCCCGTGAGGTAGGGGATGCAGTGGCTGTCGGGGTCCAGGCCCCGGTGCCACGTCAGCCGCACCGCCACCTCCGCCAGGTACAGCAGGACCACCACCTGGAGAGCAGGGGACACAGGGGACACAGGCAGAGGGTCAGGGCCGGCAGGGGCACCAGGCGGGCTTCAGGGGCGCCTCCAGCCTCCGGGGGCCGAGCCTGGTGCTGGTCACCACGAGGGCGCCGGGTCCCTGGGACCCCGAGCAGTGGGTGACACTGGGTCCCCTCCCGTGTGGCCAGTCCCCCTGGAACAGCTCCTTGGCGCCGCTGATGGGACCCCAGGGCCACCTGAATCCCAGGCTTTTTTGTGGCACCAGGGACTGAACCCAGGGCCTCGCCCACTGTCCCATCCCCGCGTCCCTGTCCCGCCCATGGCCCCGCCCCCGCCCATGGCCCCGCCCCGTTGGTGTTTCATCTGGAGACAGGGCTTGCCCTTTGCTGAGGCTGGCCTCCCACTCTTGAGATCCTCCTGCCTCAGCCTCCCGGGCCGCTGGGACGGCAGTGGGTGCCCGGCTCAAATGCCCCTTTTTATAAGTTTCTGGCCACACAGGACAGGCCGCTCCGAAGCCCGGCTGGGGCTCTGGCTACAGAAGGCCACCCTCCTCTGTCCCTCCTGGGGGCCTGTCCCTCCTGGGGGCCCTTTCCTGCTCTGGCCTCCAGCAGTGCCACACAGACCTGCTGCCACCCACCTGCTGCCTCAGCTCGGTTCCTGAGACCCCACTGGGACCCCCACTAGGGTCTACGAGAACACTCTGCCCTGCAGCGCTGGCCACTTAGCCTTTCCAGAACCTTCCAGGGCAAATCCACACGCCACCGTCCTCCAGGCCACCAGCCCTGACCAGAGGCCGCGCATGTCTTTTGCAGCACCCCGGGCGGGCCAGGCCTGCCCTGTCCTCTGAGCCATGGACACTGCCACTGCACAGTGGCTCCTGAGGGCAGGGGACAAAGCCGGCGGCCTGACCCAGTGAGCTCGTGCGCTGGTCAGCGTCCTCACCTGGAGCAGGCCAGCCAGCAGGTACAGCAGCACGAAGGTCCTGCTGCTGGCCACCGCCGGCCCCTCCACCAGGCGGATGACGAAGAAGAACAGCAGGTGGCCGGGCACCACCAGCAGGAGCAGCACGCGGGCCGACGTGGAGTTGATCTCTGCAGGGACACAGGACCGGGCCCCTGTGACCGCGCGGCAGCCAGGGCCACAGCCTTCCCAGCTGACCCCACGGTGCCCGCCTGACCCCACGGGGCTGGTGTCCAGGAAGGGAGCCGAGTCACAGCAGCAGAGCACCAAGGGGCATTTCAAACTGTGACCGCCACCGTCAGCCTGGTGACACAGCGGGGCATTGTGGGTGCGAGAGGAGGGACAAGTCCCCCGGGTCAGAGGGCCCCTCAGGGACGTGACCCCGAGATCTCAGCTGAGAGCTACATTTTGGGGAGAAGATTCCGGGCACAGGCAAGAGAACAGGTGCGGGCAGTGGGGTGGGAAAGAGCTTGGGGACATCAGGGACACTGTGACTCAGCCTCGCTGCTTGACACGGGAACCTCCAAGGAGGCCGACAGGGAGCGTGTGATAAAAACAGCTAAGGTGACGGGGCGGGGTGGTGCCAGGGCCTCCCAGCCACTCAGGAGGCCGAGGCAGGAGGATCACAGGTTGGAGGCCAGCCTCAGCCACCTGGTGAGGCCCTGCCTCTAAATAAAATAGAAAAGGGGCTGGGGACCGGGCTCTGTGGGAGGGCACCCGCCTGGCATGTGGGAGGCAGTGGACTGGACCCTCAGCGCCACATAAAAATAGAGACACTGCGTCCCTCGACAACCAAAAAAAAAGGGGGTGGGGACGTGGCTGTTGGGTGTCCCTGGGCTCCATCCCCAGTGTCCCCCAAAAAGTGCAACAGAAAGAGCAGAGCTCCCCCCACCCCGACTCCCAGGACAGGACCAGCCTGGAGCTTGACCCCGAGGCCCTCGGGGTCCCCCCACTTCTCCCCGGCCTCCGCTTCYTCCTCCCCGAGCCTCCTATGGGCCTCCAGTGCCTCAGGCCTCCAGAGCTCCTTCCTGCCTCTGGGCCTCTGCTTCGCCGATCCCTGTCCCAGCACCTGCCCCTCCTGGCCCTCCCCACGCCCTGGGCCTGGCCCTCTGGATCGTCCCACAGTCCATGACCCAGGGCTCGTCTGTCTGTCCTGTCTGCTCCTCTGGACTCCCAGAGGGCAAGAAGCCACCTGCCCAGGTCGACAGACGGTAGGCACCCTGGACACGGGAGAGGACCTGGAGGAGGGTCACCTCCGCCTCAGGCGTCCACCGCTGCAGACACTCATGTCACTTGCTTTTTTAAGACAAAGTGTCCCCAGGGGCCTGCGGGGCTGGACCCACCTGGGCTGCAGAAGGTGGCCCAGGGCCGGGGCCACAAGCCCTTCATGGGCAGGGGCAGGACCCCGGGCGAGCTGCGGACGTGCAGGTAGGTGGAGATCCGGCTGCTCTGGATGGCCACCAGGTTGCCACCGACGCCTGCGGGACACGGGGAGCCGCTGGGCCCTGCGCTGAGCGGCCGCGACTGCAGGCCTGTGGCACCTCGGGGACAGGGACCGGGCAGGGCTTCCTCCCCTTGGCTTTCAGTTCATCTGAGAAAGGCCTGGCCAGGGGACCCGGGGGGAGGGGGCTGGGGACCCCGGGGACCGAGTGCGGCACCTACCGCAGATGACGGGGGTGAGCACGGCCATGCCGCGGTACCGCTGCTCCGAGAGCGTCCTGCTCAGGATGAGGCCCCCGAAGCTGGGCGGAGAGCAGATGGCGCCCGGTGACCGCGGTGGACACTCAGGCAGCCCCAGGGCTCCTCCAGACAGCTCTCGGGGCCATCCCCGTCCCAGCCTGCCGTGGCCCCTGGTGTCCCCCGTCCTGTGCCCCCTCACTGTCCCGGGGGCCAGCAGAGGACAACATGCAGACACCCTTCCCCAGAGGGACAGAGGCAGGGTCATGGGTGGCCCCTGGCCACGTGGAGCAGCCCTCAGGGAGGACACAGCCACCAGGACTCTGGTGCCCTCGGGATCCCGACAGGCTGCAGCCAGACCTGGGGCCTGGGAGGGCAGAGTGGCCAGGAAAGGGGCCTCGGAACCTTCTAGAAGCAGGGACGCCTGCACCACAGCACGAGACCCAGGCCCGAACATATCGGCAGGGACGGGGCGGCCCCACGGTCCCCTGCTAGGAGAGGGGACGGGCCAGCCGGGGTCCCACAGGGGCGCTGTCACAGTCCCTGCGGCTGCCGCGAGGCTCTGGAACATCAGCCTGGCCCCGTGAGGGGACTGGCCTCTGTCCACGGCCCCGGGTGGGCAGGGGGTGGGCAGGGCGGCTCCCTGAGCCTGGGCAGGGGCCGAGACTGGGGAGAAGGAGGTGTCACCCAGGACGGGAGCTGCCCAGGGACCCGCTGGCCCCGACCCGAGGCACCTCCCCCGGGGCCCCAGAGCTCCTGGCCCCGCCCTCACCTGCTGATGACCATGGCCAGGATGATGGGCAGCCAGCCGAGCCTCAGCACCCTGGCGATGGGCGGGTTGCGCTTGGCCAGGACGACCCACAGCGGGGTCAGGGCCACGAAGCCCAGGCAGACCAGCGGGGCCAGCAGCCAGCTGTCTGCAGGAGGAAGGGGACCGGCTGCGGGGGACCCGCTGGTCACAGGCCTGGCCTGGCTGCGTGGGCTGGGGACCAGGGACACTGCGAGCTGAGGGGACCTCTCACCCCTGTCCCACCAGGTGGGTGACTTCCCAGACACCGCACCCTGGGCCCCCACCTACATGGTCACCACCTCCCCCTGGCCCCCACCCAGGTGGTCACCTCCAGTGCCATGTCCCATGCCGACCAGGTGGTAGCACTTAAGGGACGACCCTGCCTGGTTCCCAAGCAGCCTGGGGGTGGCCCCAAGGACAGGAGGTGACGAGATCAGGAGATGCCACCTGCTCTGCCGGGTTAGCCAGGGGCCACACAGTCCCAGGGGTCCTTGGACCTGCTGCATGACTGCAGTCCCCGGCTCCTTCCTAAGGGGACAGGATCCCCTCTGAATGCCACCCCTGGGGCCCGAGTGCTCACCCAGCCTTGGTGGTGACCTATCTGGGCCTGGCCGCCGCCGCCTCCTCCTCCTCCTCCTCCTCCTCCATTTTTTTGGTGCCAAGGATTAAACCCAGGGGCACTGGACCCCTGGCCATGTCCCCAGCCCTTTATATTTCACTTAGAGACGGGGGCCTTGCTGTTTCTGAGGCTGGCCTCCACCTGTGATCCTCCTGCCTCAGCCTCCCCAGCTGCAGGGATGACAGGCGTGGCCCCTGTGCCTGCCTCGGGCCTGTCCTGGARTGTCTTCCCACCTGTGTGTTTATAGAAGAAGCTGCTGACCACGGCCAGGATGGACAGCGTGATGAGGTCCCCCAGGCTGGCTGCGATGGGCGTGGCGATGTTGTCGGGGTTGACGCCCAGCCGCCGGGCGCCGATCACTATGCAGACCATGAGCACGCCTAGAGAGAGGGACAGGTCCAGGGAGGTCAGAGGGGACCTGCTGGGGACCTCCCCGCCACCCAGAGACCCGAGAGGGTGGGAGGAGAGCCCAGTGTGGCCTGGGGGGGCCGAGGAGCTGGCCAAATCACTGTCCCCCATCAGCGCAGGCGGCCCCCAGACCCCATCCACCTAGAGGTGACCTCACAGCCCCGTGCATGGAAGGGACATCCCAAAGGGAGGGCAGGGCCTGGCTCGGACGTGGCCTGCAGGTTTCTCGGGGGGACAGGCTGACCAGGGACAGAACCTGGGGGAAGAGGCAGGGGATGGGTAGGAGGGCACAGCGTCCTCAGGGCAGGGCTGGGCCAGGCGGCAGAGGCCCATGGGGTGGAGGCCCATCTCGGGAGCCCGGCAGGCCGTCCCTGGGCACCAGGACGCAACCTGTGGCCTCTCGGTGTCCTTGGGGACCTGAGAGGCATCTGCACTGTGACTGTCACACGTGGTCTCCTGTCCCCTCTCCCCACCTGTGACAGAGCCTGGCAGGCGCTTGCTTGGCCAAGAACCCGTCTCTGCAGTGTCCCGACACTGTGACCACCCTGTGGCCGGGAGTGACGCAGGCGGTTCAGTCCCAGCACAGGAGAGAGGGCCTTTCCAGAAAAGGGGAAGTGATCACTTGCGTCCTCAGCGCCACCTGAGACTGTCACCGCCAGCTGGTCTGAGCCACATCCTGTGACCAGGCTACAGCCCTGTATTTTTTTCGTGCTGGGGACGGAACCCGGGGGAGCCTCACCTTTTTATTTAGAGGCTGGGTCTCCCCAGGTTGCCCAGGGTGGCCTTGAACCCGGGACCCTCCTGCCTGCGGAGCCGAGGTCACGGGGTGCGCCACCGTGCCCGGCCTGGTGTTCCTGTGACATGCCACCCAGTTCAGGGTGAATCCAGTGCACGGCTGAGCTGGTGGGCCAGGGAGAGTCCCTGGGGGGTCAAGTAGAGGGACACTACCAGCTCGGGACAGCTCTTTTCGAGTCCCTACCACAGCCACGCGCGGTGGCCCCCGCCTGTCATCTCAGCTACTCAGGAGGCTGAGGCAGGAGGATCCCAAGATGGAGGCCAGCCTCAGCAACAGTGAGGCCCCAGCACTCAGGGAGGCCCTGTCTCTAAATAGAATATGGACAGGGCCGGGCGGGGCTGGGGCAGGGAATGGGCCCGGCCAGCTCCAGGCTGCGTCCCCGCTGGCTCCGCACCACCCGTGGACACTCCCCGGGTCAGCAGGGCCCTGCAGGCCAGGGACCGAGTCTGAGGCCCAGTGTGGGGGGCACAGGCAGCTCTGGGCGTGGTGAGGCCCCCACCCCAGCCATAGGCCACTCTGTCACCCTTTGTCCTCTGTGTGTCCCCAGCGCTGGCTCCACAAGCCAGTGACACACTGATGTCGACTGTGGTCCCCCGTCCCTGGGACAGCTCAGGCCCAGTGTCCCCGCCTTCCCCTCTGCTGGGCCTCGGGACAGCAGCAGCAGGACCGTCCCCAAGGCCCGAGAGCACCGAGTCGGAGGACGGTGAGACCCTGGGCCTTGGACCCCAAGGGCCCGGGAGGACACCGGCCGTGACAGGACGGCCACCGCGGGAGGGGACAGTGAGCAGGACAGTGCTGGGGCCTCCAGCGAGCGTCCCCAGTCCCAGTGGAGGCCAGGGTGTCAGAGCAGGGCCTCGGGGGCACCAGGCCACAGCCTGCAGCCCTCGACTGGGAGCAGTGTCCCCGTCCCCACGGCGGCTGTCCCTACTCACTCCAGCTGAGGGCCGGGCAGCCATCTGTGAGGAGCTGCTGCCCAGGGAGGGGACGCCAGGGTGGGGACGGGGACACTCAGGTGGGCTCCTGACAAGGCCCGTCTTGGCACAGGGACGAGCAGACGGGACGGGCCTCCCTGGCCAGGCGGAGCCCCTGGGTTGGGACCGCGCCCTCCACGGCCCCCGTCTGACCTCGTGTGGGCAGTGACCAGCTGGGGTTTGAGAGCTGAGGTCGGGCGTCACCCAAGTGGAGGGGACAGAGATAGGAGGGGACAGAGATCGGGCAGGACAGAGATGGGGGGGTGACAGGTGGGCCACGAGGACCCTGGGCTCTGCCCGCCCCCCACACCGCGGTCAGCACCACCCGCCCGTCCATGGCTCACCGAGGGCGAAGGCCGCCAGGAAGGCGGTGATGACGCTGCTGGCGCACAGCAGGGCCACCCGGGCCACGGCCACCTCCTCCCTCGTCACAGCGCCCAGCAGCAGGGCGGCCACGGCAGCCAGGAGCCCCACCACGGTGGCCTGCAACTGTGGGGACAGGAGTCAGATCACCTCCCACCAGGCCGCAGGAGGCACCATGAGGGGTGRGGGGTCCCTGGCCACTGTCCACCCTGGAAGGACAACACCCTCAGCCCTGGACCCTGGAGACTGCCCCGTCCCTCTGCACCCACCGCGGCAGGACCTCGGGCCGCCTCAGCTGCTCAGGCCTCCGCCAAGGACCACCAGGGCCGGGGTGGTCAGGGCCTCGCTAAGTGGCGGAGGCTGGCCTCTAACTCACAATCCTCCTGCCTCAGCCTCCAGAGACTCTGGGGTTATAGGCGAGCGCCACCAAACCCGGCTTGAAATCTTAAAATCTAGCGCAATAAACTTGAATCATGGACGTGTGAACACTGGGGACGACACAGGCGCCGTGTCCAATCAAGATGGAACGTGGGCACGTAAAGATGGCCGGGGAGGTCAGRGACAGATGTTTCTGAAAACAAAAACAAACTCCTCGACATTTAAACCCGGAGGGTGGGAGGCTGAGGCAGGAGGATCACAAGTGGGAGGCCAGCCTCAGCAAGTCAGTGAGACCCTGACGCGGCTCAGGGGTGAAGCATCCCTGGGTTCAAAAAAAGAGGAAACCAAAATGCCACAGCGTTTCACCTGGCGTCCTCAGCACGCCCAGGACGACTGGCCCCACTGTCACCTCATGCCCAGGAAGCAGGAGAGCAAGGAGGCGGCTGGGGTCCTGCGGCCCCTTCTAGGGCATGGCCTGACTCGGGCCACCACTGTATACGTCCCACCACCTCCCGGTGGCCCTGGAGGACACCCTAAGTCCAAACCGTAGCTGCCACCACCCACACCATGGGGACCTCACTGCCTCCCAGGACCCCTGGCCCCGTGAGCTTCCTGCCCTCACGCTGGGCAGGGTGGAGTCCCACAGGGCGACACGGGGGGCCTCCCAGGTAACAGGCCCATCATGTGCCAACGAGGGGGACCTGTTGGTGTGGACAGGGAGGCAAGAGGCCACCAAGTGTGGGTGACTCTCGGAGAAGCCAGCATGGAAGGGAGGAGGCTGGGAGGCCAGGAGGCAGGGAGGCCTCCGGGTCCCAGGAGCAGTGTCCCCCGCCCTCGTGTGCAGAGCCTCCAGCTGCCCCACCAACAGATGGACGTGGCCAGCGGCTCTCAGAGCTCAGTCCAGAGCGTGGGGACAAGGGCACCGTGGCCCTCCCCCTTCCCGACTGGAACGATCCTGCTGCAGGTTCCAAGAGGACAGAGGCCGTGTGTCCAGGGGTTAGGGGACGCTCACCTGGACCAGGGCGAGGTTGCTGCTGATGACGCGGTGTCTCTCCCGGGGGCTGTCGATCTGCCCGGTGTTGGCCTGGGAGGGACAGAGCAGGGCGCAGGTGGGCGGCCGCGTCTCCACAGGGGCCCAGCGAGTGCCACCGCACGGAGACCAGTCCAAGGACTCTGACCCAGCCTCCACTGCAGGACGGGGGGACACAGCAGGGACCGCTCCTTGAGAACCGTGTGACGTGGGGTGACAACCTCCTGTCCTCCCCTGACCATCCGACGAACACGTCCCAGGATCCTTTGCTCCTTGATTTCTGGTACCAGGGATTGACCCCAGGGCCACTCGACCCAGGGCCACCTGACCCCAAGCCCCAGCCCTAGATTTTCTGATGTATTTACAGACAGAGTCTCGCTAAGTGGCTGAGGCTGGCCTCCAACTTTAATCCTCCTGCCTCAGCCTCCAGAGCCGCTGGGGTGACAGGCCACCGCGCCCGTCCTCAGTGCAGAACAAATGGTTCCACTCGGGGTCCCCATGGAACCAGCAGGAAGAAGCAGAGGAGGGCTGCAGCTGGGGAGGACGGGGGTGGGACGGGGACAGCAGAGGGCAGAGRCAGGAAGGGGCTCGTCTGAAGGACTAATGGCCACAAACTGYAGGGATCTGAGAAAAGAGATGCACAAATCCACCCAGGAGACCTACGAGGGACTGAGAGGGACACCAGAGATGTACACTCCCATGGRACTTCAAACCTGTGTTCTGTGGTGACACGGCACGTCACTCCTACGGCAGCTCAACTCAGGGGCCCTTCAGGGATGAACGACAAGGAAACGYGGTGCTTGTACCCAGTGGAATATTACTCAGCCACAAAGAAGAGTGAAACGATGGCGTTTGTGGGTAAATGGACAGAGCCGGGGACTGTCATGCTCAGCAAAACAAGCCAGCCTCCAAACCAAAGGCCAAGTGTCCTCTTTGATACGTGGACGCTGACCCAAGGGGGGGATGGCACTTCACTGGATGAGACGCAGGGGGGTGAAGGGGTTGTCACCTTCCCATGGTCACATAGGGACTCCTGCACTCCACCCTGCGCTGGGCTCGGCACGACTCCTGGGGACACCTTTCTCAGAACCCCCAGGAGGGTGGCCGCACGCAGAGTCCCACTAGCCACCAACGTGTAGGGCCAGGAGACAGTGCCCGCCACCTCAGTGCTCAGACCTCACATCCCCAGTGTCACCCGCAGTGGCCATGCTCATGGTCACTGGCACCCATCTGTCGGGTGACTCCACAGTAGGGTTCCGGAGTCTCTGTGGGGGCCAGGGTGACCGTGTGGCCCTGCACTCCTGTCTACGTGCCCCTCGGCTCCTCTGCTCTTCTGGGCCTGGCACAGAAGCCATGGGGTGCCCATGGAGGACGCTGTCCCCTCGYGGCCATGGTTGGGCAGCTGACCTTTATTTGTTGACCTGTGTTTTCAGGAGGCGCCCTGAGCCAGCCGCACCTGAYTGAGTCTCACACACACTTTCCCCTCTTGAATTTATTCCAGAAAACACTGAGGGCTGCCACCGGGTCCCTAACACGGTGCTGCAGCMGTGACCCAGCTCCTGGGCGGTGGCCTTAGTGGGAACAGGGTCTCTGCAGACGCCCTTGATCAGGGCGAGTCCAGATGGCTCAGCACGTGACCAGGGTTTGGACCCTTGCACCCAGAACACCAGCTGAAGACCAGGCAGAGATCAGGTGACGGCCGTGTGGGCCAAGGGGTGTCCCCAACGGCCAGAAGCCAGGAGAGGGRCCCAGGGTCTCACACTTGCCGCCTCCAGACCCAGGGGACGGTGTGTCCCGTGGCTGGAGGCAGCCGGTGGTGGTTCTGGCAGCCCTAGCAAACGGATCGGAAGTCACTGTGGCTTAACTGAGGTGCCATCTGTCCCCAGCTGGATTTTACACTGGTCCTGCGACTTAAGGGGACCTGCCATCAGGAGGTCCTGAACAGAGCCAGCCTCAGACCCTCACACAGGCAGGCGGGGAGGGGTGCGCGCCACCATCCCAGCAGCTCAGGAGGCTGAGGCAGGAGGACTGTGAGCGGGAGGCCAGCCTCAGCCACTCAGCGAGGCCCTGTCTCAAAATCAACTTGGTGGCTAAGTGCCCCGGGTCTTTCTCCTAAGCCCGGACTAGGACAATCACACGGAACCTCAGCCCACTCCTCTCTTTGGAGGCGCTGGCCCTCCTTCAAGCCACCTGGGGAAACTGGTGGTGGGGGCGCTATCCCCGAGCCAGGCTCCTGGTCCCCYGTCAACTTACGGCGGTGGAGAGCCGCGAGGCCAGCGTCATCTCCAGGTTCCCCTTGAGCCCCACGAGGGGTGGCACCAGCGTCAGCAGGTCCTTCACCTCCAGGAACACGGGCCAGTGCTGCAAGAGGGCGGCAGGGGGTCAAGCGCCCGCCTGGTGTCTCCCCCGACGTCCCGAGAGCCTGTGGCGGGGACTTCCTGGTCCCCACAGAAGCCACCAGGCAAGCGACGCCTTKGGTGGCTTTGAACTAAGCACCAGGTCAGTGGGGCTGGGGACACTGTGGTCTCAGTGACAGCACCAATGGGCCTGGGCCCCCCCCTCCAGCCTGTAGCGGGCAGGGCAGGGGACAGGGCAGGGGACAGGCCCAGGACCTGGCTCGCCTGGTAGGAAATCAGTGCAGAATTCAAAGTGACAGGGTCCCGGTCACATCTGCGCAGCCAGCTGCTGTGGGGCAGCGWCCCCCCTCCCACGGGTGAGGGGCCCTGGTGCCCTCTGCTCCTGGGCAGCGAGTCTGCGTCTGTCACTGTCCAGCTCCGAGCTGGGCCTTCGACTTTTGGGGGGTTGAACCCAGGGGTGCTCGACCGCTGAGCCACACGCCCAGCCCTTGGCTGAGGCCGGCCTCCAACTTGTGATCCTCCGTCTCAGCCTCCCAGGGATCTGGGATGACAGGTCTGCAGACCCTGAATGTTTCAAAGCACCTGCGTGACGGAGACGCCACCTCAGCAAACACTGACAAATTCACACAAGCTGGGCGCAGTGGCCCACGCCTGCCATCCCAGTGGCTGGGGAGGCTGAGGCAGGAGGATCGCAAGTTGGAGGCCGGCCTCCGCAACTTCGTGAGAATCTGTCTTAAAATATAAAAAGGTCGGGTGTGGTCAGTGGTCAATCCCCCCTGGGTTCAATCCCTGGTGTGTGTGTGTGCCTTTCTCTCTCTCTCTCTCACACACACACACACACACACACACACACACAGATGCACAAACTAAGAAAGAAAGAAAGAGATACACATTTTGAGAAAATTGGAAGAAAAAGATTTTGCAGAGAAGAAAACGACGCTTCCCTCCTTAACGTGCCATCAGGTTGCTCCCTGAAACCGACTCCCGACACCCTCCGGGGCTCACAGCCTCCTCCACCAGCCTGGCCTTTGCCTGTGACCGACACAGAAGTCGCCTGGTTTTGCGACTCTAGGCCTAAGGACAGGCCCTGCACCTGTGGGGACGCTGGTCGCCGGCTCTCCTTCCCGTCCCTGGTGGAGACGCGCCCACCCACCGCACCTCTAGGGGGCGCAGGCGCCATCTCCAAGCCGCCCTGGCTGTCCTCCTGGGGATGGTGACAACAGGACAGTGGGGGTCCCGGGAGATGTCCCCTGGTCAGGTTCCCCCTCACAGTGGGGACTGGGGAAGTTATAAGGGGGAGAGGGCCTCATGGAAATAGAAGGGAGACCAGAGGYGAGGAGAAGGGGGCTCTGGGAGTGGCCCAATCAGGTCATGTGCATGMACCAGGTGTCACCAAGTGCCACAGAGCACCGTGTACAGTCCTGGCACCAATACAGCAGGGGGAAATGGAGTCGCAACAGTGCGGGGGGCTCCTTCCTGCTCTCACCAGGACTGGACCCAGGAGCCAAGTGAGACAGGGCCTCACTGAGTTCCGAGGCTGGCCTCCGACTTGTGGTCCTCCTGCCTCAGCCTCCCGAGGGGCGGAACGACAGGCGTGCGCCCCTCCACGCCCTCAGACCTCCGTTTACTGCTCCTCTGCTGGGCTTCGCCCTGACCCCCACACAGCGGGCACTCCAGCATCCGGGCCCAGGTCACAGAGGAAAACAATGTCACCGGGCAAAGGCCGAAGCCCTTATCAGCACGGTCCCTGCCTCCCTGTATTCCCGGCAGCATCAGCCCCAGGCTCCCGTGACACAGGACACAGAGTCCCTCACATGCGTCCTGGGGCGGCCGGCTGGCTCACCCTGTCCYCTCCCGCAAGACTGTCACAGGCAGCAGGGACAAGTCCAGTGACAGGCACCGCGGGCCTGCACAGGGGAGGTGACCAGACCCAGTGTCGCCCCTGTGCACCCCGTGGAGTGCTCGCTGGGTGTCCTGCAGAGGCCCACCTGTGGCCCTCTTTCCTGTCTCGACCCCTCCTCGTCCCAAACCTGACAGTCAGACTTTTGTGACCGCCCCTCAGCAACACCTAGGCCTCTGTCCCTGTCACCTGGGGACGGGGCACAATGCTGCTTCTGCCATATGGGGTGGGGGTGGCTGAGCCTTGGCCACGACTACCCCGGTCTTCCTCGCTGTCCCAGCCTCACCCTCCAGGGCATCTTCGATACTGCTCCAAGGACAGACTGTAGTCACACTGATGTGACTGTCACCCAGCCACTTACAACCACCACTGCCAAATCCACACCCGAGCAGGTGCCCAACTGACAGGTCCTCACGTGGTCCCCAAACATACGGGGGGACTCTGCTCGTGGATCATGGCATCAGAAGTCAGAGGCAGCTGGGCACAGGGCGCACACCTGTCATCCCAACAGCTCGGGAGGCTGAGGCAGGAGGACTGCAAACTGGAGGCCAGCCTCGGCCACTGAGGCCCTGAGCTGCTCAGCGAGGCCCTGGCTCTCAATAAAACGTAACAAGGGCTGGGGACGGGCGCAGGGGTTAAGGCCCCCGGGCTCCATCCCTGGCACCAAAGAAAGAAAAGCTAGGAATCAGACGAGACGGAGGGTCCACGAGATCCCCGTCAGCGCTTCCCTGTACACCCAGACTGTGCGTGTGCGTGTGCGTGTGCGTGCGTGCGTGTGCAGGCGTGTGGGAGCGCAGTCCTGATGGAGCTGTTTATTTTCTTCATCTGCACGTGCGTGGCGCTGGGGTGGGCCCCGGCTCTGGCCCCGACACTGCTGTTTCCTGTCCCATGGGACTTCATGGGCCACCCACCCCGACACTCGGGCAGYGTCCCATTCCTAAGTGTGACGGCCTCTCCTGGGTGGTGGCTGCCCCRTGTCCCCTTGTCTGGGCTGGCGAGGGGCAGGCAAGTCCCCAGGCCACCTCACCTCTGCAGGTGGGACCCTCAAAGACCAGGGAGCAGCCTCCACGAAGCCGTGGGCAGCACCCCGCGTCCACCCTCCCGAGCAGCTGGACCACAGGCCTGCGCCCGCCCCTCTCTAGGTTCCCTAGCGCAGCAGTCGCGCCACGGGGACGTCACAGCAGGCAGCAGACACCCCTCACTGCTCCAAGTGACGTCACCCGAATCACACTCAGGACACACAGATCTCAAGGTTCAGGTGCAGACCCCAGACCCCGCCAGCCTGGCCCCCTGGGCCCCCGGTGAGTCCCCCCAGCTCTGTCGAGGGGCGGCCGTGCCAGTGACCTGGCCCTACAGGACAAGGACACAGGCTCCCAGCTCTCAGCAAGGTGGGTGCTGCCTTCGGCCCACTTTACAGATGGGGAAACTGAGGCAGGGAGGTGGGAGGCAGGCCCTGCCCGTGCCCACACCTTGGCCAGGACGGGAGCCGAGCTCCAGGAGACGGGCTGCGCTGGCCAAGCCTGGGGAGGGACGTCCAAGTGACGCTTTGGCGCACAGATGCTGGGTGCACAGGGGACCCCCGACACCCAGGTCCGAGCGCACGCCCTCCCCGCGGCCCCGCACCCACCTGGACGGCGTTCATCAGCAGGCCCGCGGCCATCATGCCCAGGCCCGACAGCAGGATGGGCACGGTGACCTGGCACGTCGTGGAGAGGGGGGTCTCGGGGGGCACCCCGTGGGGGGACCGCGTGAGCTCACAGCTGAAGCCTCGCAGCTTCTGGCCCTGGAAGCGGAACTCCAGGTTCAGCTGGGTGACCACCATGGCCAGGCGCTGGCCACATGCCCGGGAGCCTCCGTCACCTCCTCTTGCTCCACAGCAGGACGCTCGTCCCCAGAAGTCCAGGCACAGAGGCCTCCGGGAGGGTCAGTGGCCCGAGCCTCCGAAGGCTCACGGCAGGTCCTGGGCCAAGGACAAAGCCCAGGAGCAAGGAACAAAGGCCACTGTGACAGCCAGCCTCGTTCTGGAGACCGCCGGCACGGGCTGTCCACTCCTTGGCGGTCAGGTCGCCCTCGGAGAGTGGCTTCGGGTCAGCTGGGACCTCCCTCGGCCAGCCTGCCAGGGAGGCTCCCCGTCCCTTGGCGGCGACCTTGAGAGTGTCCAGGGGCTCAGCCCACGCTGGCGGAGTGGACAGAGAGCCCACGTASGGCTGGCCTTGGTGACCGCCCCGGCGAGGGCCGCCACCTCCCTCCACCACGTGTCCTGGTGGCCCTACCCTGGGCAGGGAAGGGCCTGCGGAGACCTCGGTCCACAGCCCACCTCCCGGGYGGCCCAGGGTCCCTGCAGGTCAGGGCCAAGGACTCTGAGGGTCTCCAGGAAGGACGCCATGCCCTGGGGTCACTCGATGGCAGTGTCCAGGGGCCCACGGCCACAGCATCCCGGCTCTCCCTGGAAAGCCCGGGTGACGTGTCAAGGTGACCTCGCTTCCTCCCACTAGTGGGGTCAGGCCCTGCTCTGCGCATCTGACCAGCAGGACAGAAGGGCCACCCGGGGAAGCCCCGCCTCCTGTGGGTGGACATGTCCCCCACATGCTCCTCGGGCACCAGCAGYGGAGGCTGGTTGGGTCTCGCTCAGGGGCCTCAGCCTGCAGCAGCCCTGGGCACGGGGCTGGACACAGCCTCCTGACCTGGGGTCCCGGGCTCGTGGRCAGCCGGCCACTCCCCTGCGTGCCCCCTGGTCCTGCGCCCGCCACCCTGGGAGCCAGACGGGCACCTGCTCGTCGCCCTGCAGGAGCTGCGTGGGGCGGAAGGACGGGCTCTGGGGCCACAGCAGAGACCCGGCTGACCAGGGCGGCCTCCCACCGGTCACTAGCACACGGCGGGTGCTGGGGACAGCTGGGGACAGCTGGGCCCCGCGCGCTTCTCACCAGCTTCCTGTTGCAGAGGGGACCTGSCCCAACCCGACGGTGACCACCCCTAGCTGGACACCACGTCCCTCACCCGGGCCAGCTGCAAGCCACACAGCGCCTCTGCTGTGACCCGTGGCCGCGCCGTGTCCTCCACACCAGAGCTTGCTCTCCGCGAGAACAGGGCGCCCAGGAGGTGGCTGTCCCCCGTCCCCGGCTGTCCCCTTCTTCCCTGGGAAAGGGTGACAGAGCACTCCACCATCTGGAGAGACGCACCTGCCATGAGCCCCCGAAGGAACTTCCTGGGGACCCACTCTGCGCCTCCTGCTGGCCCCCAAGTCCCCAGGCCCGTCCCTGTCCCTATCCTACAATGCTCAGGGCCGCCCTCTGCATCCCGCAGACCTGCCCCGGGCCTGGGGACACGGCCCTTCCACCGCTCTCACACGCACAGAAAAGTCCAGAAGGACAAGAACCACGAGGTCAGCTGGCGCTCTCTGGCTGCAGGGGTAGGACTGTGAGCGACTCTGGGCATCATCCCCATAACGTGACAAGATCGCTTGCTTTCTTATTTGGGGGCCCTCGTCCACTGAGCCCTGGCCCCAGCCCTACTTACCTCTTATTTAGAGGCAAGGCCTCACTAACTTGCGGAGGCTGCCTTGGACTGTGATCCTCCGGCCCCAGCCTCCCAGCCTCCGGGATTAGAGGCCTACACTGCCAAGCCCAGTGCGGCCACCTGCTTTCATAACCATCAAATCGACTGTCACCAGAAATAAATGAAAAACTGTGACCTCGTGAGGGGAAAACCCTACTGTCCTGAGACCCTTGAGGACATCAGGGTTCAGCGTGGCCCACTGGGTCCCGGTCCAGAGGGACAGACCCCCAGAGGGGACAGAAGAGAGTCCTGAGGGCTGGGCTGGCAGCAGGACCGCAGATTACCGCGGCCCGGGACCTGTGGGGGGTGCGGTTTAGCGGGTGGGGGTGTCCTTGGAGAGCCTCACAACTGGAACACGCATCATGGACTCGGCAGCAAGAACTGCTGGACACCCGGTCCCTCTCTCAGGGCCACCCTGACCCGGGCAGGTCCTGAGGCAGGTGGCCGCGCTTTTTCTGTTCCGGGGTTGAACCCTGGGTGCTCGTCCCCTAGCCACACCCCAGCCCTTTTTGTATTTAGAGASAGGGTCTCACTGAGCTGCCGAGGCYGGCCTCCAACTCACGATCCTCCTGCCTCAGCCTCCCCAGCTCCTGGGAGGACAGGCGTGGGCCACTGTTCCCGACTGAACGTGACCGTGATGCTCTGCTGTCCCAACACTGGGGGACACACAGGGCTTCCAGTCCTCCTCGTCCTGTTCCCGTGGACAACATGCCTCTCACACAAGTCCCAGCCCTCAGTTCCCAGCAGCCCTTGGAGTCACTCGAATGGGCTGCTCCCACCCCCCAGGAACCAGGTCCCCCGCCTGCTCCCCCATCAGCCTCCGCACCCTGTGCCCASTCTGCTCCCGGGCGTGGCCTCCCTGAATGGCACAGAATGTTCCCCGCCAGGCCGCGTGGSGGACAYGTAACTGCTGTCCCCGTCACCCCTGGTGCAGCCTCCCCCAGGCGGCCCTCCCACCCTGCCCAGTGGGGTGGAAGGAGGTGACCAGAACAATTGTCATCATGAAAAGGTGACCCAACCGTGACCCAGAACACCCGTCAGCTCTGACTCAATGCTCTTTGCTGACCAGCGGGTTCCTGGTGAAGCCAAGGTCCCCTGGCAGGCTGCGCTGTCCCCCCCAGGGGACACCATGACGCGGTTCTCCCTGCCCAAAGGACAACCTGCTGCTGTTGCTGTTGGCACCAGGGGCTGACCCCAGGGATGCTGACCCCTGAGCCCCGTCCCCAGCCCCTTTTTCTATTTTATGTAGAGACAGGGTCTCCCTGAGCTGCTTAGAGCCTCACTAAGTGGCTGAGGCTGGCCTCCAAATTGCGATCCTCCTGCCTCAGCCTCCGGAGCCACTGGGATGATGACTTACTATTTTGTAGATGTGCTGTGTGAGAGTGACGGGACTTACARAGTTGTTAGTTCCTGTCTCTTATTGGAGGGTCCCCGAGAGTCCCYGATAAAGAACACCACCCACCCAAGGGTGCATAAGGGACCAAACTCCAGGCGGTCATCCCAGGGGGACACTGGCCAGTGGGCACTGCTTTCTAAGCTCCCAGGCCAGGGCACAGTCACCCGCCTCTTGCGCCTCACCATCAGGCAACAGAAACCAAGGTCTCCACGGCCCCCACCACGGCCACCCAGGCTCGCCGGTCACTCCAGCCTCCGGAGCCCAGGCAGGWCCGACTGAGCCAAGCCGCAACGTCCCACGGTGGCCCAGGAGGAGAGCGGCCCACAGAGCTGCAGGCCACCTACGCGTCTGCCTCAATTAGGGGGWGCTCCCAGCCCCTACCTAGGTCACAGGGGACATGTGGACCTCTGGGTGTCACCAGTGCCACAGGCCAATGACTCAGGGAGTCCTGGGCTCCGGGGAGACGCCCACCCCACACTCAGGCCGGCAGGGACCTCTCAGGTCCRCCTGTGGCCCTCTCCACCCTGGCCAGGGCCTGCTTGGTGGGTTGGGGAAGGGTGTCCCCTGTCCCCTGCGAGTGTTGGTGTGAGGACGTCAGTGTCCACTGTGCGGAAGGCCTGAGGCGGCCCTGTGCTGCCTGGAGAAATGAGGGACATGAACGGCTGGTCCCCTCCCAGCTCTGCTCCCGGGGATAAGATCCCTGGTCACACCCCCCTTATCAGGGCCGGGCACTGGGCCTGCTGGGCCTGGGCGGCTAGCCAGTCACCACCATCTCCCGTCCCTCCCTCCTGCTCCTGATGCCACTTCCCTGGCTGCCCTAGATCAGGGGTCTGGTGCCAAGAAATCGCTGCTACGATGGTGCCAGGGAGGCACACCTGTCACCCCTGGGACTTGGGAGGCCGAGGCAGGAGGATCACAAGTTGGAGGCCGGCCTCAGCAACTCAGTGAGGCCCCGTCTCCAAAAAAAAAAGGGGGGGGGAGGGGCTGGGGACGTAGCTCAGTGGAGCACCCTGGGTTCAACCCGGCACCAGGGTCCCCCACCATTTCTCCCCTCTCCCCACACAACTGGTGTCCTCAGACTAAGGCCCAGAGAGGGATGGGGGAGACCCCATCCGGACACAGAGGACGACGGCCATGGCAGGAGGAGGCTTCAGGGGGAGCCCCTCAGGGCCACACCTCGCCCTCACTGCCCGCTCTGTGGCGGCTCCTGCAGCCCAGGTGGCCTGTCACACAGAACCAGAGGGACACGGGCCGCGGGTTTCTGACCCATCTGCACAAGAACCAGGCCTCGACCAAGAGGCGAAATCACGTGGGGTCACCGCCGTCTTTAAACGGGTGCCCTGTTTCATGGAGTTGATCTTCGTTTATTTTTGTGGCTCCAGAGATTGAACTCGGGGCACTGGACCCCTGGGCCCCGTCCCCAGCCCTGTTTGTCTCTTCGTTCGAGACGGGGTCTCGCTGACTTGCTTAAGGCCTCACTTTTTACTGAGGCCGGCTTCGAACTCACGATCCTCCTGCCTCAACCTCCTGAGCCACTGGAATGACAGGCGTGAGTCACGGTGACTGCCGTGATCCACTGTGCCCAGCTTTTATTTATTTTCTTAAAAAAATTCTGTGAAATAAATGCACATAGGCACCATGGCCCACGCCTGTCATCCCAGCAGCTCAGGAGGCCGAGGCAGGAGGATCGCAAGGTGGAGGCCAGCCTCAGCAGCTTAGTGAGGCCCCAAGCAACTCAGGGAGACCCTGTCTCTGAATAAGACATGCAGAGGGCTGGGGACGGGGCTCAGTGGGTAAGTGTCCCTGGGTTCAATCCTGGGGACCAAAAAGAAAACAATTTTGAGACTCAGCACCACCATGTTGCTCGCTGTGCTCTGGCCTCGGCCTCCTGCGTCACTGGGACGACCGACCTGTGCCGCTCCCTGACTGTCCTCTGAAGTGCCACTCGGGTCACACCGAGTCCCTCTCACTAGACCTAAAGGAACCTGGCCCAGGGTGGAGGTGGCCCCCGTCCTGCAGGCAGGACCCTAGGCCCAGACCCCGCCCGTGCCCTCTTTCTTACCTGGAAGTAGTTCAGCAGCACGCCAGCCCAGGACAGCCCCAGGCCCGCGAGGACAAAGGGCAGGGTCACCTGCAGGCAGATGGTCAGAGCTGTCTCCCTGGTGGGCGYGGCCTCCTGGGGCCTGGAGGGCACGCGCTGGCCGTCAGGGACCCCGAGGTGCCCATCTCCGGAGGCGGCGGGGAGGCTCCCTGTGCTGAGGGCAGGCGACACCTTCAGCTCCTCCAGCCTGCCACAGCCTCCCAGCCTCCGCGGCCGGGGCTCCGAGGCTTCCATCGGTGCAGCCGGCCCGCAGCTCCAACCTGGAGACACAAGGAGAGGTGTGGGCAGGTCCCACCCGGGGCCCTGTGTCACACCTACAGCCCCCACGTGGCCCCGCACTCCTGCCTACAGCAGCGGACTTCAGATGCGCGTGAGATCAGACACCCGTGGAAGAGCACCACACACCTGTGAAGTCGGCAGATGTGAAGGGGGCGGTCCCCCCAAAATGCCCACCTTAAGAGCAACCAGAAAAATCAGGCTGGGGCCTGGAGCCCTGGCCCAYGCCTGTCATCCCAGCAGCTCAGGAGGCTGAGGCAGGAGGATCGAAAGTTGGAGGCCAGCCTCAGCAACTGAGTGCGGCCCTAAGCAACTCAGCGAGATCCTGTCTCTAAATAAAATGTAAAAAGGGCTGGGGACCGGGGCTCAGGGGTTAACTGCCATGAGCCAGGCTGTAGGGACAGGGACCAGACAAAGTCCACCGTACACCAGACGCCACATCACGTGGGCAGCGATGTTCCCATGGGACACCTGGTCCCAAGGAAGCGGTCGGGATCAGCACCCTTCAGTTTGGATGACACTGGGCCTTGGTGTGTTTTCTGGGTGACCTGCCACCACAGGGCACCCCTGGGTTCTATCCTGGTGAAAAGTGTCCGGGACACAGGGCAGGTGAAGGCAAAGGAATTTCCAAAAATACTAAGAAACTAGGTCAGGACTAGGAGGCGGACGCCACCAGCAACGCGCTCCTCGCCCCTGGGAACGACTCCAGGCTCCAAGGTGATCAAAGGAACCGGGTCTCTCCGAACAAACCCAAGGCTGTGGGCACAGGCACCAAGTGCAGCCACGCAGCCTTGGCCAGAAGCCCCTGGACCCAGGGCCACGTCCCAGTCCCCAACCCAGAACCAACTGGCGAACAACTAGATCCTGCAACCTCCGCTGCTCCGAGACCATGATCGCCTTCCTCTCTTTGCTCTTAAATGGGGTGAGATTCYTGAGATATTCAAAAGAAACCAGATAGCAGTGAAATTAAGGAAATCATGGAAAACAATGCCAAGGATCCGTTAGCAATAGTGGATAGGGTGGTCCTTGGAACCTGTAGGCACTGGTTCCGTGACTCCCAGTGGCTATCAAAATCCTGAACTGGGCATGTGCGCCCGCCTGTCATCCCAGTGGTTTGGGAGGCTGAGGCAGGAGGATCCCAAGTTGGAGGCCAGCCTCAGCCATGGCAAGGCGCTAAGCAACTCAGGGAGACCCTGTCTCTAAATCAAATGCAAAATAGGGCTGGGGASGGGGCTCCGTGGTYAAGSACCTGAGTTCAAGTAYWKGGTACCCCCCACAAAAAATTTGYCAATGCTACATAGTTTATTATACTGTAGTGTTTAGATAATAAAGAAAAATGTCGGTATGTGTTCGGCAGATGCARCTAAAAAATACTTCTGACTTGACGTTGGTTGAACTCACAAGTAAGGGACCCAGTGGACACGGAGGCCAAATGGACACACATTCCTACCCATCAAATTGGGGTTTTTCTGGCCATTTTTAGCCTAATGGAACCAGGTCAGTGGAACACTGTGATTACCGTGTGCACACTGAGAACGCAACAGGAATCGCGTATTAATTTACGGTCCTACTCAGATTTAAAGCACTTTGGTCTACGGGTAAGCAAGCAATGCTTACATGTGGCTCAAGCGGTAGCGCGCTCGCCTGCCATGCGTGCGGCCCGGGTTCGATCCTCAGCACCACATACCAACAAAGATGTTGTGTCTGCCGAG